TGCTTAAAATGCTGCAGCTAGTGATATGCCAGAAGTTAAACTGCACATTCATAACACTCTTTTCTGTTTCTTCCACTTGCTGCCTCTAGGTCTGACAACAGTTTGACTTCTGAAAACCCTTAAAGTTCTTCGCAGATTGGCTCCTTTCCCCATGTTCTCTACCTCTGCTAGCATTTAAGGTCCTCTGGCTGAGGTTTCTATGTCACCCTGCACACACAGGCTCGTGACCTGCTGGTCAGTAGGCACCTTTGGACTTTGTTCCCTTGTTGCTGGGGATCTTTCAGCTGATTTTGTACTGTCCAGTGTACCACATACGCGAGCCTGAATGTATCCCCTGGACTGTTATCTGGAGTACCATCCTAACAGAAGCACCGTCGCTCCATTGCAAAAACATCACAGCGTTCACAGCACCACACAGCCCACACTGGAGCTCAGCATTGAAGGTGTTAATGGCTTGCCTAAGTTTAAAACTGAGCTCTTCTGATGTAGCCTCTAGCTGGGATGCTTTTTCACACTGAAGCTTATTGACTTTTATTGCCAGGTGCCGAGTGATAGATACGTGGATCAGAAGGCATCCCCATAAATGGCCATTATACCCTTATCTGATAAATCTCAAGTTTGTAAATTAGCTTGGAGTTAGAGCTTCCATATTACATATTTACGTCCACAGACAGCCTTTCAAAACTATCCAAACCCAATTAAAACCACATTTAAAGATTAAATATGGCAGATAGGTAAAGCTAATAAGAAAAGATAAGTAAAGAAGTATTATTAAGGTGTAGCAAATGAAAGATATGTTCTGTGACAGCAAAGCCATGTCCTGAGCTTGGGGTCCTGGCTGTGTCAGCACACAACTCCACACAAACCTGCCCACAAAACTGGGTAGATAATGGGATGTATTTGGTAGCCATGCTGGTCTGAGCCAAAAAGAGATGCAAAACTCTAGAACTAGTAGATAACGGAGTAGTTAGCCCACACTGAGCTTCACATTGTACTAGCCAGCTTGCTAACAGTACCCCAGCAAGGTAGCTTAAAGCTGTGTAGATGTAACCCTAATGCCATTTTACTTCTGAATGAGAGCATTTATATGAGACTTTAATGCCTTTTAAGTTACATGGAAGTAACTTTATATTTTTAGTTCATTTAACATTCCTACACATCTTTGCATTGACCAACTGGTAGGTATTAGGTCAGATTTCCCCCCTCCCTCTATGCTGGAACAAGGTCTGTCTACTCTTAGCAGGGTGGTTTAGGCTTAAGAAGTCAGTATTGTGAGATCTGCTAAAAGCTGAGAGAGAATTTGGACTCATTTAAAATTAAATAATACAGATAAAATAGAAAATAGGAAGATTCATTGCAACAGGAGCATGTAAGATCTTTGTATACCTTGCATATGCATCTTTGCATAAACACACTGCTATAAAGGAGTGAATAGGGAGGTATGAGGAATGGGAATGTGGTTTGGGGGTCTGTTTTTGTTCTTCCAGTCACTAGGTTATAAATATTTGCAAGCTAGTGACTAAAGTATTTTAATACTAGGCACCTATCGGAATATATGTTAATGAACAATCAAGATACAGATAACTTGAAATGCATCCCTTTTGTGCAAACTTTTAAAGATCTTTCAACTGGCACTGTACATATATATATATATATTTCAATTTTCCCTTAAACCAGCTTTCCAGATGGCTCTAAGATCAGATATAGTTAGAAAACTCTACCTAACAAGAGAAAACAATTATGTTCCCCATTCCAGAAATACACAGGTCCTGATCTGTAAGGCAGAGAGTCAACAAATCCGTGGTTATTTGCATTAACAATAACCTTTGTGAAGCTAGTACATGATTTAGTTGTAATTTATTTTGGCTTATAATCTTCTATGCCGTTGCTTTTAACCTTTTTTAGACTCAAGGCATCCATCAAGAGATCCAAGGCACCCCCCTCCATAAATGCTGGCTCTTAGCTTCCACTCATTTTGTGACTATGGAAATATAATAGAGCAATTATTTAGTTACAAAGAACCCAGAAAGCCCACAACAGGTCAGAATGTTTCTGGCACTATGGATTCCTGTTGGAAATCCCTGGTTTGAACTCATAAATCATGTGCACACCTAACAATGCTAATATTGCACAGCTCCTACAATACCCTGGCTGAGAATTACTTTTCTAGACCAATTTGGTCATCAAACAACTGAGACTAGGCTTCCATTTGATAACAATAAAATTATAGCTACCCAGAGCCAAAGGGAGCCCTGCAATTAAGGCTAAGCTGAACCTTGATGCAAATTTTTAAAAAGCATCTATCAGAGTTCTTTCTTCTACGGAAAGAAAAAAAGGTCTTGAAAAACAAAAGTACATAAATTTCCATTTCAAACTGACCACCTCACCCTGGCCATTGCTACAACAGCACACAGAGTGGCCTACAGCTCTTTACACCACATGATGATTCAGTTGGTAAAGCACATCTTGGACAACTCCAAATCTAAACCCTGCTGTTGAGACTACTCAGCAGTGGGAACAAGGATTGGATGGGGCATTGAAAATTAACTCTCTCTCACTCCTGAAAATGACCTTAAGAGGTGCTCAACATCACTACAAAATAAAGGGCTCACCTTCCTGGAGGTCATCTCCTTGTCTCTGTACATCATGTCCTGAAGAAGAAATCTCAAAAAGGGCACGTGTCCAAAAGCTGATTTAACATCTCTCCCAATTATACAGTTGATCCAGTAAAAGAAACAGCAACAAACCCCTGCTTCTCGCATATCTCTTGGACCATCCTGGCTACAACAACACTCCAGCCCCCCTGCACATCACAAGAGAATAAAGCCAGGTTCACAGCATCCCTCAGAAACCCAAATGTCAGACAGAAGGAGATGGTGTCATCTCTGAACCAAAAGTTCCAGAGTTTTGCATTTCTTTTTGTCAGAGACACAGGGAAGGTTTCACCACGCTGTGCTTTCACAGCAGGCGTTAGGCAGTCATGGTTATAGAACCTCACATCCAATCAGAGGTGTGCCATGAAAAGGGATTTTTAAAACTTGCAAACACAGGGAACAATCTCAGGTAATCCAGGTTAGCTCCTGGCAGGCCCCTGCTGCACTACATCCAGTAATTTGGGAGCAGATAATAATTCAATTCGGGTTTTGTTTATAATTGGTTCACTGCACCTAGGAACAAAATGGTAGTGAGAGTTAATTGACATTCCTCCAAACATAGGCTTAAATATGGGGAAAGTGAGAGATGGAAATCAGTTTGCTGGTTTCAGTGTAGTCCCAGCAGACAGGTGCTCATCACCATCTCATTAATCTATGCGATGGAAACTGGATAACTGAAACCCACTTATCTCAGGTGTACAAGGCACTGCCAGGCAAAGGCCAGATCTTGTGAGAAGTGCAAGTCAATGGGAGTTGAGGGGGAACAGCACCTTCTGGAGGGGACCTTTGTAATATTCCTCTGCCTTTATAATGCAGCAAATATACACATTAATTTGAGATGGACGTTTAATTGTTATTGTGCAGTAAAATCAGTATAAAGGGGAGTTTTGTATTTCAGCAAGTCATTACAATTAGTGTCTCTGCAACCGATACGTACTTGTTCACTGGCATTTGTTCTCTTTTTTGCATTTGTCTGCTTTACCTTCTCCTTGTTGCACTCTACTTTTCCATAAAAACAACTTGAAAAAAAGTTAATACTTGTTTTCTTGCTTAAAAATAAAAAGCGGCAATGCTAAAGTAGAAGTCTGTTTGATTACTACTAGTGTATTAGAGAACAAAGGAGGGCCTTGAAGCCAGTGTCTGCATGACTTGAGGGATAGCTTCTTTGACCGAAGCTGCAGGAGGGAGGCTTTTCAAACTTTTAATGTCTTAGTACCTTGGTTTTAGGGGGAAACATGTTAGCTATTGACAATACCAAATTATATTGTAGGGAAAGACTGCTAGTTATCAGTATCATGGGCCTCTACACAACACACACATGGTTTATATATTCCTATTAGGCTTATGAAACATAATACCAGGACAACTGTAGCTTCTACCTGTCCCTTTGCATTACACATCCGGTGGGAAGTTCTTTAAAAATGAGTCTTTTTTTAACTCTCTGTACTAATATTTTTCCAGGAAATCTCCTACTGTTGCACTCCTACCAATATAGCAATCACAGGAATGTTAGCAGAGACAAAGCAAAAGAGGACAATCATAGAAACATAGAAAATTGGGGTTGGAAGAGATCTCAGGAGGTCACATCTAGTCCAACCCCCTGCTCAAAGCAGAACCAGCCCCAACTAGATCATCCCAGTAGTTTGATTAGTTAATAAAATACATATTGCTTATGTGCTGCCTGCACTAAGTCTCCCGCTTTTGGTATGTAGATAATTTCTCCATAAACAATATTGTAGATTTATTTAGTAGTGGTTAAAATGCCCCAATACCATGTTTTTAATTACTCAGGATCCAGGCTGCCTGACCTTTCTGATGTTTATTATCCTGATTCCTGTATGATGGGACTGATAGCCCCAAATCAAAAATCACATGTATGCTTATTGGCTTACTTCCCAATCATTAAGAAAGTTAATTAAAAAAGGGCATTCAATTTCAAAGTAACACAAGAGGTTGCAGTTGATCTCAATGAAACCTAGCAGTCTGCTGACACCACTTCTGCTGGTTTTTCTGATAGCTTGATTCCTGTTTTTAATTACTAAGGACATCAGCATGAAAAGAGGCCCTTTGTTGCTATCACAGCTCTCTTCATTCCTTACTTGAAGTTGTCAACCTTTGTTTATGACATCATTGAGTTAATTGCTGGGATGATTGTGATGCCATAAACACAACATAAGGACTTCAAATGAAGAAAACACAGCACTCCTCTTTTCATGCAAAGGTCACTGGCTGGTGGAATTTAAGAAAGAAGGCTCAGGAGGAAGAGACAAATAACATCTGAATAATCAGCACCAATATTTCTGAAAAGGTTAATCGGTTTCCTTTGTGATGCCAACAAACACTTACTTCTTCATCTTCCTCCTCCTCTTCATCATTTGACTCAACACTATCATCCAGAGGCTCTTCTGGAAAAAGAATAAAAAGCATCAGTGTACCCCACCAGTAACTCTACCTGCTGCTCTCCTCCCTGTAACATGGAATTATCTTCCCAGTATTTAGGGTACAATTTCTTTGAACAGCATCTCTTGAACTTTAGCCACTATTTTGAGGCCACATCACTTGCCACTATACAACATTTGTCACTAGGAGGGTAGTAAAGCACTGGAACAGGTTACCCAGAGGGGTGGTGGGATCTACATCCTTGGAAGTTTTTAAGACCCGGCTAAACAAAGCCTTGGCTGGGATGGTGTAGGTGGGGCTGGTCCTGCTTTGAGCAGGGGGTTACACCAGATCAGTGGTTCTCAACCTTTTTTGTACCAGGACCCGTTTGTAAGCATCAGTGGCCAGTCATGAGCCAGTAAATAGTTTAAGAAGAAAACAGCCCCCCTGCCCTGCCTGTGCCCCTCTCTCCCAACTTGCTCCCCCCTACCTCCAGTGTGTGGGGCAGGGGACATGGGGGGGGAAGGCAAGCAGCCCCTAGCAGGCTGGAGCTCTGCCAGCCTGCAAGGAAAAAGCCACTGTTTCCCACATTTTCCTCCTTTAAAGGATAATCCATTTTTAAAATTTATTTGCAACCCTTTCATATATTCTTGCGACCTATCTTTGGGTGGTGACCCATGGGCTGACAAACCCTGGACTAGATGTGACCTCCCGAGGTCCCCTCCAACCCTAATTTTCAGTCACCAAGACCAATTCACAGAACTCACTGGACTCTCTGACACAACCAGAAGCAGAAATACTCTGGAACGATCAGTCTCACTATTGCCCCTAACTAGTTCAAGCCTCCCATTTACAGTATGATAAGAGGAGAGCTTATACACAAAGAACTATATAATTTCTTTAATGTTTTTAATAGTTGCCCCACCTCTTCTACCCCACATCAGATGGCCAATAAAATATGAATGCATTGAGAGAGATATTTCTACAAAGCAAAAATACATTAATCTATTGCCCAGACTTATATACCGGAAACCTATACACTCAGAAATTTTACCATTACTATAGGCCGGCCAACAAAACATTTTATAGACTTGATCCATGTCGGGTGCATATACTTCATAGTGAAAACACAGTAGTTAAACACTATTTTGTTAATATGCGGGAGGATTTAACTTGACTTTTCCCTCCTTTTCCATTTTCACTTCTTCTCTAACACTCTCTCCAGGCACAGAGGCCAGAACTAGAGTTCATAAGTTCCACGTTCTTCTGGATTTGCTGTTTCTATGACTGTAGTGATTAGTACTGCCGGCCACTGTCTTGTGACAGGCACTCACTGTACAAACACAGAACAAAAAAAAATGGTCCCTGACCCATATCTAAATTGGCATAAGAAAAGATCACAGATGCCAGGGTTTTCCTTGTCTCTGACAGGTGCAAGACATGAGTGAACCCGAATCCCGTGTTGGTGACTGAGCAACTAATTAAATCGCCAGCTTACTTAAGCACCGTGCTTTTGCTTCAGATAGGACATGCCTGGACAGCCCCATCTGACCTCACCATGCATGTGGTTAGAAAGTTTTGGAACCTTGGTCTAAATTTCTCTTTTTGACATGCAAAAATACATTTTAAAACACATTTGACACCAATATCCTGAAGCTGACACTGATATCCTGAAGTTCTCTGTTTGAGCCCCAAAAGCCAATCATAGCATTGTCATTTTCTGTAAGTTCTCAAAGCCAGGTAAAAAACATGAGCTTTGTTATGGCTGTTGTGAAAGATTTATAGCTCGGATAATAGCTGCATCTGGTTCTCTGACCTGAATTGAGCTGTTTGATAATAAATTCAATCTGCCGGATCATCTCAGCATTTCCTTCCTTGATAAAGCATCGCAGAATTTCTTCCATACCCTGGACACATTGGAAAACATTGCCAGGTTAGTTTTTCTCTTGACAAGCCCCATACAGGGTGATGTTGTTGGATAAAATAATTGCTTTGTTGGGAAAGGTGTAGAGTGAAACCGCTGTGTCTAATAATAAATATTTCATTCAGTCCATAAACTACCCAGAGATGAAGATAGCTTGCTACTAGGCTCGAACACAAAACACTCCAGTAAAATAACACAAACAGTTTTCACAGCAGGTATTCCTGTTTTCTAAACATAATTATTAATGGCTTGTGAAGAACAGAGTTCTGTTCTGACAAGGTATGAAAAGAACTGTACACGCATCAGTGAAAATCCAAGAGGGCAGAAGTGGTGGACTTTCATTTTCTTATCTTGTCTACCCTTTCTGCACTAATACACAGGCTTGCTTTTGAGTCTGTCATTTTTTACTATCGGTTAGCTGTCCAACTCCCAACACAGCAAAGGGGAAGCTCATATGTTGGGCAGGGTAGATCATTTGGATGACAGCAATTGTGCCTGCAATTTATGAGCATGGAAGGAGAAGTTGGACGTAAAATAAAAAAAGTCCCTTTTTCACACCTCTATCATGGCACTCCCCACATGTCCTCCACAGCCCTGGCGGAGCCAGGATGAAAAGTTGTGTTGCTAGAAGGCATTAGCTAACACTTTTTAAATAAAATATTTGAAAAGCTTAATGCAGGCAAGGCCAGACAAGTCAAGGTCAGAGAAGGACCTAGACTTTCACTTTCCCAGTTCAAGCATGATGCACAGTCTATGCTATACCGCTACCTACACAATAGTGCTCAAACGTGCCAACATATTCTCAAATAATGTCTTTACATCCTCATCAAGACAAAACCCTGAACATCCTGACACCTTCACCCCAAAGGGTAGAAGACTAGCCAACTATTACCCCCCCACATATCTGCAAATATTTTTTTTGAGACACAAACCCACAAAATATAGGTGTATTAAAGGGAGATTTTCAAAGGCACAAGAAAATCAGTTATGTGCCTAAAGCCCACCAAGCTTGAAAACCTTCTCCAAATTGCCTTTTGCAGTCAGTCTCCAATAGGGTCTATTTCTGGAGAGCCTCACACAATTTGGGAAGATAGAAGGAAATTTAAAGTAATGCTTATTCCTGGTACCAACAACCCCTAGGCAGCACTTTTCAGCAGCTGATCTCACAGTGTTTTATCAGGAGGTCAGTATTATTATTCTGGCTTCACCTATGGGGCAACTGAAGCACAGAGAGGTGTTGAAATGATGCAGCAAAGGTCAGCCAGCAGGCTTATGACTGAACCAGGAACAGATCTCAGTCAAGTGCTCCATCCACTGTGCAACTGCTGAGCTCTCATTAACCGACGGGGGACTGCAATTCTCCTGGAGGACTCTTCTAAGTAATAAAGGACACAAAAGCTAGCTATTTTTAAACCAAACATTTAAACCTCCAAAAAGCAGTCTTCAGACATACCTTTTTGAATAGACCTAGTAAGAAGAGATTTACAGGAAAGAATACGGGCAAGCCAGGTTTACATTTAAATGGAATTCACACAATAAAATGGACAATGAGAGCAAATACAAATTAGGACCGACACAAGCCTCTGGCTGCTGCCCTGCTACAGCGTATTTTTATCTCCCCAAAAAGACAAAGACTGTTCTGCAGGAGATCATTCATCACCTCAGTTCTTCCTCAGCACGAGTTACAGGGATAGCAAGTTTGCTCTTTCCTTATATCCAACAGCTCCATTTTGGCTACACTTTATCAGAGATGGCTGTACTGGATGAAGTGGGGTTCATCCAGGCTGTCCTAAAGCCTCAGCAGCTGTTAAGACAAGACAATAAGCGAACTCGGCCGTGGTATAAGTGGACACTGACTTCAACAGGAGTTAAACTGGCTGGAACCACAGCAGAATCTGGTCCAATATCTCCCCCAAATAAAGATGATGTACTTTGTGGCACAAGCCATAGTATAACAGTACTTTTAACAATACCTGCTATAATTAAATATGGAGCAGGGTTTGGAGAAGTAAAACACAAATGTCAAATAAGATCTTAGACTCAACTAATAGTTTTGCTCCTTGGGCCCACACTGTTCAACATCTTCATCAGTGACTTGGACGAGGGGGTAAAAAGCACCCTGTTCAAATCTGCTGATGACACTAAGATGTGGTGGGACATGGGCACACTAGAAGGAAG